TAAATGCACTGAGTTGCCGCCATGTGATTGGCTGATTAGAAATTAAGTGTTAACGAGCAGTTGGACAGGTGTACCTAATAAAGTGGCCGGTGAGTGTATTTGCTTTAGCCAGCTCCACGGGCCATCTCTGTATGCGTTCCACATTGTCCAAGAACAGCCACTTTTCTTTGTGCTGGTGTCCTTCAGACATGTAATCCAAGAACATGTGTACCCTGTTAGCTTTAGGTACCACATTCTCTTTGTGTTTGTGGTTTGGACATCCACCCATGTAGAACCTCCTGAAGCCCCCCCAGAAAGGAGACCACTGGTCCTGGCAAAGGAAGCGCCTGGGAAGGCAGTGGGCTGTCCGGTGGTGTTGTATCCAGGGGCTCCAGCCAGCTTGCTGGAACCGGGTTTGGTACTGCTGGTGCAGAAGATGTGCTCGTTGTTTTTTCATTATCCACACAATCTTCTTCTTCATCCTCACAATCTTCCTGGTCCTCGTCTTCCATGATGGTTCCAGCCCAGAGTCACCAGCCTGCTGTTCCCCACTGGGCTCCYCTGTCTGGAGGTCTGACACGACCAGTGGGCTGACTTGTTTTTCCCCTGAGATCTCTGATCATGTGTATAATGTAGTTTCGCCTCACCTTACGCATCAGAGCCCGTTTATTTGTCTGTTTTTCACTCGTGATAACAAACTCTTTCAGTTGTTACCTGGTTCAACATGTCATTATTCATCCATCACGTGCCATAATTGTAAATACATTTAATCTGTAAATAAATGGCTCGTGGAGAACGTGCCAACATACGCTAATCTCATTTTTGTGTCTTGATAAAAGATATTCCTGGTTTTGATAGGACAAGAACTCATGAAATCAATTTGGGTAAATTTATTCTGAGACTGATTACAATAAAGTTACCGTTTTTCATTTCTTTCCTGGGTCAATATTTGATCGAATTAAGGAATGTGGTGCCTCGAGGTAAGGTAATTTGTGAGTCACAAATTACCTATTTTAGAATATACCCAAAAAACCCTACATATATTTTGGTACCGGCTGTGTGAGGCTTACAAGCCAGTAGGTCTTTCATCAAGACACAAGAAAAATAGAGGACACATGTTGTTCAACTGAGTGTGAACGTAACAGACTTTTATTGTGAAAGCCCTCCCGGAAACGATCGCATCACCGCTGTGCTTTTCACAATTGTCATGTTGTTTTCTGCCGAGACTCGCTCGTGTAGGAAAATGCACAACTTTATAACAATTTAGGAGGTAAATCATTTTGTTCATTTATCTGTAGATAATCTGAAGTTGTGAGTCCGTCTTTGTTGTGTTACGACAGTCTGAGGACTTGTTCGTTTGTGAGTTAACTTGTGAAATGAAGCCACGGATGCATTTGAGTGAGCAGACGAATGTGTATTCAGCGGTTCTGGTCAGAGTCAGAACMGAACCACTCAATTCGTGTGCATGCAACTCCGACTGGAGCTTTATGCAAATAGTCTCTCTCTGTCTCTGTGTGTGTGTGTGTGTGTGTGTTACCGTCTTTGTGACAGTTCGCAGTGTTCTGTTGAATCTCGCATCTTTTCAAAACTAACCTCCTCGAAAACGCATGTGCGTTATCACACTACTGTTTAACCTCGAGAAAGCTTGTTTAACTGTTGTTCTCATATAGAAAAAAAAAACTGAGTCACAAGAGTTTAGCAGCTTCACAGCTTGACTTGAAACCTTCAAACCAGGTTAGATTACAGCTCCCTTCTGTAATCACATAGCTTTTAAAATACTGCCAGCATTTTAATGTTACCTTGTAAATAATTACTTGTTTTCTAGAACTGTTCAACTCTAGTCTTAGCTTAAAATTATCCAAATTCATTTTCCAAAGTTAATCTTTGTGATTTTAAAAAACTATCATGTTCTGTTCCATTCTTTTGCAAAGGAATGTGTTTTCAATTTAATCAAATTGTTTGACAGCTTCTGTCTTTCTAAAGTTATCTACCTTCGAAGTTTGAAATCAAAAGTATCAAAGATATCAGTCAAATGGTGGACATTTGATTGATTAAAGTGATATGCAAATTTCAAACCTAGAAGCTAGTTRATGTAYCTTAGAAGCTAGTTAATGCATCCTAGAAGCTAGTTAATGTATCCATGAGCTACGGCCACAGTGGACGCACTGCTGGCTCAGAAAGGGTGAATGTGTGTGTTTTGTGTTGCTATTTTTGCTAAGGAAAGGCCAAATTTTAAATGAGAAATAAAACTGAGAACTCTTTAATTTTCAGCCCAATACGATCTCAAAATGTCGACTTTAATTTTCTTAGCATGCATTAAAAATCAGACTTCGGTACGATGCTCATTTTCAGAGGCAAATTAAAGCAGCCATGTGCTGACACAATGCTCTGAAAGTTACCACTGAGGATAATTAACGTAGCTAATTAAATATTCTAACGACCGTCCTTATAAACCAAAATAAGGACAGGGAAGGTAAATGTAGTTGAACTCAGACGTTTATCAGAAAAACGAAAAAGGAGTTCATGAAAAAGGGAAGCTGAGAAAACCCCTTCATTGCTGTGTTGAAATCTAATTATCATAAAGAAGTGATAATAAAGTTCACAGAAGCTTTGCTAACCATGAAGAAGTGGTAAACTCTGTTCTTAGAAGCTACATGCTCAGATCCCAGGTAGAGGAAAGCCTGAACACAAGCTGATCTGAGAATCCACTTTGTTAAAAGTTTCTCCAAAGAGGGAAGTGATTGATTTTTTTACAGCACCAATCTGAATCATTGCTGGAGCTTTAAACCAGACCGCTGACGTCTGGAACAGATTGCCCGCTAATAAGCTAAACTCTCTCATGATAAAGGCAAAGAAAAAAAAGAAACAGCCTTATTGTGAGGTTCAGAAGTGCTAAAAAGCCACAGAGCTACAGAAGAAATATTTTAATGAGTCCAAACAATCAAGGAAAAATTACTTAAGACTCACCTGAGAAAGAAAAATCTCAGCATTAAAGACTTTTCAGAAATCTAACATCAAAGTTGATAAACTCAACTATTTGATTAGTTTAAGCTAACATCTTTAAACTAAAACCTTTAACTTTTCTTGACCATCAGTTCAGACTGGAGCTAACCGCTAACAAATGCTAATTCCAACTAGTATGAAGTTTGTGTGGTTAAACCGTGCTCACACTCAGTCGAATAATGTGTTAAAGGATTGATAAGTCTTTTACAGACTTACACATGGTTAGGCAGGACCATTCCATGTGCCCCTTTAAATATCTCATTTTTTGTTAAGCTAAAGTTTTTACATGTACCTCTTTAAAGAAAAACAAAGAGATATTTTGAATAAGACCTTCTTTTAGTTCTTTAGAATGAATAGGAGCCCAGTGATGTTAGAAAATCACGGTTAGCATATTACTAYTATTAGCTTATCATTTTTTAATTTAACTTGTAAGTCAACCGACTTTATACATGCATGTTTTAAACCTTAGGGTTTTGTTTTATTTGTTTTGTTCATTAGGAACGATATGCTAATCTCTAGATACCATTTAGTTACTGAGCACCTGATGTCTCTCCATGCAAATGTTTAACATGCCCAAGATCCAGTGATCCCACATCAGCTCTCCAGAGGTCGACTCCATCACCCTCCAGAGGTCGACTCCATCACCCTCCAGAGATCGACTCCATCACCCTCCAGAGATCGACTCCATCACCCTCCAGAGGTCGACTCGCACCTACCCCCAGAGGCCAAAGACAGCCTGCCTTCTCTAGGACAAACTCTGGTTTGGTATGGAAATAACCCTGACCTATTAATGTGGATTACTGACTTTGTTTCTATTGTTTTGAAGAGCGCTCCAGGACTGTTGCTCAAAAACAAAAGGACTGATCCCTCACACACGCATGAAGAAGGACATGGAGGACGTTCATGCTACAAGAAACAGGAAAACACCATGTGATTATAACCCACTWACTTTTCACAGTTATTGTTTATAATCGGGGGGATTTGTAGCATTTTCCTGCACACAATCATTTCTGATTGGATATAACTGGTCTTATTTCTGCTTAAAGGAAGAAATCAAATCCACTGTGACTTTAGACTTTTTTTAAGGCTTTCGAATGGAACCTTCCTTTGTGCCTCGAATTAGCATATCTTACACAAACTCGCCAGACTTCCTGACGCCTTACTGTTAATAGATAAGAATTGTCACATTCCTGTTCCGAAACCCCACATGTTCTGTGCTTCCATCCCCCATAAGCACAAGACTGTTTGTGCTTCTTCAAAGGGACCATAAAACCAGACTCTTCAGTATGACTGAGATCAAAGGGCCGACATTCTTCATTAAATGTGAAAAAAAGAACAAGATTGAATGTTTTTATACAACTGTCTGTTTTCAGATATCTTAATCAAAGAAATGTGATTTACAAAACCCATTGAAGCTCTAACCGCGGTAAAGCTAGCCGGCTCTGACTCCAGCCGGCCCAGCTCACAATCAACAATTGCGCGGTAGCTCAAGACAATTACGGTACACCTATTTAC